GTATTGCTGGTTTTGGACCAGTTCACTACAGTTTGGATGAGGGAAGGAGTCTTCCTGACATGTTTCCCCCTCAAAAAACAACTTCCAGACTGGAAACTTCTGCCTCTTCTAAACATGCCCATGAGTTGGTTCATGTTTCCATCTTTTCCATCACCTTGTCAAGAAGGAGGTGATGTGAAGCAGGTCCAGAGGGAATCCCACTGCTGAAGCAGGGATTGCTCACCCAGCAGTGGCAAACCTGCTATTGCTCACGCCCCTTTGATCTCTGGGGGCTTCTGGCTCAGAAAGCTCATACCCTTTCTTGGGCTACCTGGTGCCTTCTCCAGCGTGGCTGTTTGGTACAGGGGTGGTCGTGGACAGCCAGTTCATGCTGCCTCTGTCCTTGACAGGCTGCCGTCCCTACTCCATCCCACCCTGTGAGCACCACGTCAATGGGTCCAGGCCCCCCTGCACTGGGGAGGGGGGCGAGACCCCCCGGTGCAGCCGGCACTGCGAGGCCGGCTACTCGCCCTCGTACAAGGAGGACAAGCACTACGGTAAGGGAGGTGGCCTCCTCCAGCACTTCTGCAGCTCCAGAGCTGATCCCAGCAGGAGGTTGGTGGGGTTGAACGTCTTCCTAAGCTGTTGGATGGTGGTTGTGTTCTGTGCCCTCAGGATGGGTGGTTCCTGGAGCAAACATCAGCCTGGCAGATGGACAGTTTGTGTTTGCTGAGACTCGGCGGAGAAGGGGGAGTTGGTTTGAGTCCTTGTGATGCACATGCTTGGGTTGAAGAGCATGGTGCTGAGCCCTGTGGGAGGCTGGTGTCAAAGCCACCTCCTTCTTTAGATGAGGTATTGGGCAGAAATTCTGTCCTGTGAGGGTGGTGAGGCACTGCCACAAGTTTCCTGGAGAAGCTGTGGCTGCCCCCTCCCTGGAAGTGTTGAAGGCCAGGTTGGATGGGGCTTGGAGCAGCCTGGTGTAGTGGGAGGTGTCCTGGCCATTCCGGGGGGTTGGAGCTAGATGGTATTTAAGGTTCCTTCCAACTCAAACCATTCTATGATTCTTGCTCCTTGATGGCTTCCAGACATGTAGGATAGTCTGGCTGCTTCTTGGAGATTTGTCTTAGCTTCTAGTCATTTGGGTTGTTTTGTAAATGATGTACAAGGGGAAAACTTGCCACTGAAAGTGTCTGGAACAGGTCTTTGGGTACAGAATAGGACTTGGGATAACTAACTCTATCTGGATGATGGATGGAATCCACTTTTCCTGCCTGGCTGTCTCCATGCCTCTGGAGGAGCTGGGTTTGAATTTAACCTTTAAGTGAAGAAGACCTATTGCAGGCCCATGCTCACCTCGCGTGTTTGTTTGGTCCGGGGGTGGTCGTGGACAGCCAGTTCATGCTGCCTCTGTCCTTGACAGGCTGCCGTCCCTACTCCATCCCACCCTGTGAGCACCACGTCAATGGGTCCAGGCCCCCCTGCACTGGGGAGGGGGGCGAGACCCCCCGGTGCAGCCGGCACTGCGAGGCCGGCTACTCGCCCTCGTACAAGGAGGACAAGCACTACGGTAAGGGAGGTGGCCTCCTCCAGCACTTCTGCAGCTCCAGAGCTGATCCCAGCAGGAGGTTGGTGGGGTTGAACGTCTTCCTAAGCTGTTGGATGGTGGTTGTGTTCTGTGCCCTCAGGATGGGTGGTTCCTGGAGCAAACATCAGCCTGGCAGATGGACAGTTTGTGTTTGCTGAGACTCGGCGGAGAAGGGGGAGTTGGTTTGAGTCCTTGTGATGCACATGCTTGGGTTGAAGAGCATGGTGCTGAGCCCTGTGGGAGGCTGGTGTCAAAGCCACCTCCTTCTTTAGATGAGGTATTGGGCAGAAATTCTGTCCTGTGAGGGTGGTGAGGCACTGCCACAAGTTTCCTGGAGAAGCTGTGGCTGCCCCCTCCCTGGAAGTGTTGAAGGCCAGGTTGGATGGGGCTTGGAGCAGCCTGGTGTAGTGGGAGGTGTCCTGGCCATTCCGGGGGGTTGGAGCTAGATGGTATTTAAGGTTCCTTCCAACTCAAACCATTCTATGATTCTTGCTCCTTGATGGCTTCCAGACATGTAGGATAGTCTGGCTGCTTCTTGGAGATTTGTCTTAGCTTCTAGTCATTTGGGTTGTTTTGTAAATGAGGATGTACAAGGGGAAAACTTGCCACTGAAAGTGTCTGGAACAGGTCTTTGGGTACAGAATAGGACTTGGGATAACTAACTCTATCTGGATGATGGATGGAATCCACTTTTCCTGCCTGGCTGTCTCCATGCCTCTGGAGGAGCTGGGTTTGAATTTAACCTTTAAGTGAAGAAGACCTATTGCAGGCCCATGCTCACCTCTCCAGCTGTCCCAAGACCTGTGGCCTGATAATGCTGTACTAATGGTAGGACCTTTTTTCCTCCCTAGGCATCACATCCTACGGTGTCCCTCGCAGTGAAAAGGAAATCATGGCTGAGATCTACAAGAATGGCCCAGTGGAAGGAGCCTTTATTGTCTACGAGGACTTCCTGATGTACAAGTCTGGTGAGCATCATCCCTGAGGTTGCAGGGAGTCCTGATCCCTATTTCATCCGTAGGATCTGTAATGCGTGTCCCTTCTTCCTCTACTTAAGTCTGAAAGGAGATCTCAAGGTCATGCTTGAGTATCTGGTGTTGCAAGAACACGGGCAGAGGCCATCTCCTGTGTCCACTGGTGTATAGCAGGGGAGGAGGTACTTGGGGCTGGCTCAGAGAGGAGGCCTCTATGGGGAGGCCCCGGAATTGCAGCTGAGAACAGCAGTTAAGATTGTAGGTAAAATCCTGGGAGATGGCTGTCCTGGTGTGGACCCCAACTCCCTGTTCTGAACTGCTTGGGATGTGCCACTTTTGGGACCCTTGCTGAGTGTCTCAGGGCTTCCCACACCCTTCATCCAGACTCCAATAAGCCTCAAGTTTCCATTTAACAAAAAAAACCAACCCAAACTTCTCAGCTGGTCTGTGGGCTCAGATAATGTCCCACGAGCTGGCAGGGGTCTCGGGTGGGGGGGAGATGTGGTGCCTGTTGACGTTTGCCTTGTTGCCTTGCAGGGGTGTACCAGCACGTGTCCGGCGAGCAGGTTGGAGGCCACGCCATCCGTGTGCTGGGCTGGGGGGAGGAGAACGGTACCCCGTACTGGCTGGCTGCCAACTCCTGGAACACCGACTGGGGGGACAACGGTGAGACCAGCCCCCGGGGGCTGTGGGAACCCTTCTCCCCATTCTCCTGGGCACCATGAGGGAGCTGACTTTTTTTGTTTGTTTTTTTTTCTCTTGGTGTGTTTGCAGGGTTCTTCAAAATCCTCCGGGGACAGGACCACTGTGGCATCGAGTCCGAGATCGTGGCTGGGATCCCCAGGCCAGAGCAGGACTGGAAGAGGGTGTAACCATGATCAAATCAGAAATAACCCCGAGTCCCTGATGCTTTTAACTGATAGTAGGTTGGGTGCAGAGCCCCTTCCTTCTAAGAGACTATAGTTGAGGTTACTTTATTAAAGCTTTTTATCTTTTTTTTTTCTTTTTTTGGTTTGTTTTTGTTTTTTAATTGTACAGTGGAGCTGCCCTCTGCAAGCCCTCTGCTGCTGGTGGGTTGCAGCTCTGGGGCATTCCCTGCTCAAAGGACTGCTGAAGGGCTGGCTGGCCTCTTGTGCCATGGGGTTTGGTTAGGCCTGGACCCCTTCCAGCCCAGTCTGTTGCTAGGAAGCAGTGGCTTTGAGCTGGGATGTGAGGGACTTGGTGAGGTAGTAGAGATGGAACCTGCTGGGAAGCTGGGGGCCAGGTGTGATTTGTTGCACCTCTTGGCTGGCTGGGTCTGGCTCTGAGCGCCCAAAGCAAGCAGAGTATATGGTTGTGTGCCTTGAATTGGCTAAACTTAGACCTATTAATGACAAAATACTGACAAGCTTGATGTGGGGCTGGCTCTGGCTGGAGCTGCTGTAAGGTTCCTCCTGCCTGCAACAAGTCCTTCATGCATCGCTTGCTCCGCTCCCTCCATTCAGCTGCTTTTTAAACCACTTGTTCCTTAGATGTGTGTTTGGGTGTTCTTTTTCTGCTATATTCTGAGGTTTTTGATCCTAGGGAAGGGTCTGGCTAGAACTCCATGAGCCTTCAAGCAAATGTCTTGCCAAGCATCTAGGAGCACACTGAAAAGAGCAAACCACTTCTCCCCCATAGCTGGGCAGTTTGGGTGGTGCTTTGGCATGGGCACTGCCTCCAAAATTGCTGTGGTGCTTTGGGTGCTGAGCAGAGATGAGGGATGTTGCTGCAGGGAGCTCATGCAGATGCTTGGAGGTATCTTGCTAAATTGCACAGGACTGAAGCTTTTCTTCTTTAGACCAACGGGTGTTAAGGAAGAAGAACCTTATTTTTGTTACTGGGGGAGATGTAATAGCTGTGGAGGAGGAATCATGTGATTTGCCAACACTAAGACAGTGAGAGCTTTTTTTTAAAAAATAAAATTGTATAGCACAAACTATGTTGCTGAGCTGAGGCTGCAGCCCTGATGGTGTGAAACAGGTTCTCCCTTGCACTGTACCATAGCCTCTTGTGTCCCCATCCTCACACTGGTGAGACAGAGCTGTGATGTGGCTGGAACAACTGTGCCAATAAATGATTTCTCCAATATCTTGTCTTCTGGCCCTTGGTTGCTTCTGCTTGACTATTCTGCTGTTGATCTGTGCTTTGTGAAGGCAGGTGAGACCCTTCTGTCTTCATTCAAGTAAGGTCAGTCCTGGCCCTGTCCTCTGGCCATACTGGTGAAAGCATGGCTTGTGTTGTCTCCTGATGGTGGGAAAGGTGCTTCAGCATCGACCAGGATCTCTGCATGCTGGCACAAAGGGTGCAGGGGAAGGATGTACCAAGGCACCAGAGAGCATGCCTGAAGCTCAGGGCTGGGCTGTGCCACCCCTCCTGCAGTGCAAAGTTAATTAAAATTTAATTTACTGACCTTTAGCTGGCTCTTACCCTAGTTAGTTATTTCTTTGGGTCTGACACATGAGGCTTTACTGCAATGCCTAGACATGTGACCATGCTCTTGTCACCTTGAGAGGTGCGCACATGCAAACCACATGAAATTCAACAAGGCCAAGTGCAAGGTCCTGCACGTGGGTCACATGGGGCAATCCCAAGCACCTCTACTGGGCGGTGTCCCCATCCATGGCAGGGGGGGGTTGGACCTAGATGATCTTTAAGGTCCCACCAAACTCAAACCATTCTATGGTTCTATGAAGGAAGCATCTGCATTTCATCTGAGCTGAGGGCTGTGACATGGGGCATCGTGGAGAGTTACCTGTGTAATAGAAATGATGGCTAAAAAAGAAAACAATCAAACACTATTTCCCAAAGAAAACTTTAATTTCAACAAGACAGGAAGCTGCACAAAGAGAGCTACTGCAAATTTCTTTTGAACAGCTTAAAACTATCTACATGAATACTTGTGGAGTAAGGTCCTCCTTCTGAGTAACAGTCTGGCCACAGGGGCTTGGCCTTTCAAAGGCCACTGAACTGCACCTGATGGACACCTCTGTCCTGCACCAGAACACGGGCTGTCCTTCCCTTCACAAAGGCAAAGCAGCATCTGAGGGGGGTTGCGTAGGGACCCTGAAAATGAAAATCCACCACAGGAAAACAAGACTTGCCCTTAATGTGCTGTTTGCTCTTGAAGTCAATCCAGGCTGATGTGTTTCAAAACAGCAGTGGAAGCCTCATCCAGCTTGCACATCAGACTAACCCAAAGAATCATCCCAAGCTAAAGACAAGTGGGCTAGGGAAACCTGCCCTGGCCACTGTCTCAGTGGCTCAAACCTTCCCAGCCTGTGGTGGGGATCACCACTGCCTTTCAGGGTGGCCAGTGCACTAAGACCCCATAAAAACCATCCCATGAGGGACAGGGTGGTGCAAACCCTTGCTCCTCTGCCTTGCAGAGGCACCTGGTGCTGTCATGATGGGTGCTCTGCCACAGCCCCTTGGGCTGAAGAAAGAGCTCAGAGCCTTGACCCTGTGGAGGAGTCAAACATGGGGCTGGTAGCTCAGGGCCATACAGGCCTGTCTCCTCCATTTCACCACCTCCCAAGCTGCTAAACTGAAGCTTTGCAAGGGCAGGGTGCCATCTGCTAGAAGGCAGGGAGCTGCCACAGATGCCTTTCAACTGGGAGCACTTTCCAATGGACAGAGCATCCCCCCTCCCACGTGTTTATCACTAGAAGGGCTTGTTTCAAGCCCAGTAGCCTCCTTCAGCAGCCCAACAGAAATGTGAAGATTGCCTCTGTCTGTTCCCAGGCTGCAGGATATCAACCAGCCTGGGCTGAGGACCAGAAGGTGACAGAGCTTCTTCTGTACTCCTCTCCCAGCTGAAGAAGCAGCCTTCCAGTGCAGAGCAGGCAGCACAGGCAATGCAGAAGAGGCTGCCCAAGAAAGGGAGGCAAAATCCAGGTGGTTTTGCTCAGCTCTGAGCTGGTAAGGTGTCTCAAATCTCAAGCAAGAAAAGAGGCAACCGGAGCTTCTATTTAAAACCATCCTAACAACAACAAAAAAATTCAGGTAAACATTCCACCAGGAAAGGAAAAAAAAAACACCAGATACTCGATTCCAAAGAGTAAGACTCCGATCAGTGTTGGTAACCAAGCAGATGGCGGTGAGGAGCAGAGTCTGGCAATGTCACACTGTCACCCCAGGGCTGCAGCTCACCAGCATCCCATCCTCATCACTGTCCCAGGCCCCATGGCAGCCCACTGCCAGGCCATCCCCACTGGTGGGGGGCAAGGAGCATCCTGCCTCTACTGCCCATCCACCAACCATTTCTTTCCCCCACCTGCCCGCGCTGCCCGTCAGTTCTCGCCCGCCTGGACATACTCCTCGGTGGCCTTGGAGATGGTGCTGAGGTACTGCCAGCTGAGGGCAGCCAGGAGCATGGCACACGACAGGTAGATGGGGGAGTAGTGGTGGCGTGATGCCATGGAGCTGCTGGGCAAGCTCATGGCACGGATGGTAGAGATCACCTGCTGTGTCTTGTTGGATGATGGGTCCGTGCTTGGGATCTTCTGGTAGATCTGGGAAGAGAGGAAAGAGGAGTTATAGTTCCCACCCAAGGTTAAGGAGACAAACGGGATGACTGGGTGGAAGAGGAAGCCTTAAGGACCACTGTGTCCTCAAGAGCAGCCTCTGTGGTGCACTGCCATGGAGCAAGGACCAGCTGCAAGGGATGCCTGGATGGGGCCAGGGCAGGTTTCCCTAGAGAAGTGCACTAAGGCAAGCAGCCTCTTGAGGGCACCCCATGATGGGAGATGACCACCAGCATCAGACACAGTCCCTCAACCACAAGTGATGTTGCAGGGACCAGCCGATCTTACTCAGCAATCCTCACTGCCAGTGTGCTGCAGGCCACCTCAAATCAGTGAGGACACCCCAGAATGACCAGAAGCTGGTGTGACTGCCAGAATATGGCCACCTTCAACAGATAACCCCATGTTCTTTGGGTTTTTTTCCTCATGGTCTGCAAACTCCATGGCTTTTAAGACAAGGAGTCTTAGGGGGCAGTGCACAAGCAGAGACCCTCCTCTAGTTTAATGTGTCACTGTCCCTTGTCATGGGGTCAGCCAGACCACAAATGGAGCTCTAATAACCCATAGTGTGGGGTCTCCCTGGTGCAGAAGTAATGTCTACTTATTTAACTGCAGTTGCTGTTTTTTGGGGTTGGGTTTGGTTTTCTCCCATTAATCTATCCACCAGATGTTCCTCCATGTGAACTACACCTGGAGTACTGTGTCCAGTTCTGGGGTCTCCAACATAAGAAGGACATGGAGCTGTTGGAGTGAGTCCAGAGGAGGCCACAAAGATGATCAGAGGGCTGGAGCAGCTCTGCTCTGGAGACAGGCAGAGAATTGGGGTTGCTCAGCCTGGAGAAGAGAAGGCTCTGGGGAGACCTTAGAGCACCTTCCAGTGCCGGAAGAGGTTACAGGAAATCTGGGGAGGGACTTTTTACAAGGGCGTGGAGTGATAGGATAAGAGGGAACAGTTTTAAACTGAAAGAGCAGAGATATACATGAGATCTTTGGAAGAAAACCTTTCCTGTGAGTGTGGTGAGACCCTGGTCCAGGCTGCCCAGAGAAGCTGTGGCTCCTCTCTTGCTGTAAGTGTTTCATGCCAGGTTGGATGGGGCTTGGAGCAACCTGGTGTAGTGGAAGGTGTCCATGGCAGGAGGGACCTAGATGATCTTTAAGGTCCCTTCCAACCCAAACCATTCTATGATTCTATGAATTTTTAATGTCCACAGTACCCTGAAGTTGGGAGCCCCACTGCTTTAATCACCCATGAATAGCTGCCCTTATTTACTACTGGAGATGCAGGACTAGGAAACAACCACACATCATGTTGCCAGCTGCAACTACAGACAAAGAAAACAAGAGTTCTCTGGAGCAGCCCATGGGGAGATGATGCAACCTATTCAGATGTGTGCTGTGGGAAAGGTCCCCTGTGCCTGCTCAGCCCAGGGGAAGCGCTGTGCTGTGACACTT